TTCGTTATACATGCATCAGCTCGAAACTTGTTTAATTAATTTTTCTCAGTTGTTGAAATAATCTAAAAATTTTATTATGAGATAAATGCACGATTAATATAAAAGTTATTATTTTTAAATATCAACTAAGTAAACAGAAAAATAAGACGAAGTATTCTTTGTTGTATCTATAATAATTACTCAAAAATGATCGTTAAACTTTATACTTGCGTACTTAAGAAAAAAATCAGATATCGTTTCTTCGTATCGTATAGTTGTAACTACTCTTACAAGTATTATCCTTTAACTAGTTTAGGAGTTGTAATGTGAGCGAAGTATTCGTAGTATTCTTGTCGAACAATAACGTTACATTTCTACAAACTGCGATGGGAAATGGAGAATTTGAAATTGCTTCTTATCGAAATCACTGCATAGTACACTGTATAGAATCGAAAACGTAGATAAGAATTTTATTGTTAAGTCTTATTAATTAGATATTCCTAGGCGATGCTATCACTTAGATCTTTTATCATAAAAATATGAAGTTTGTAATTAATTAAAAAAAATGTAAATTGGTTTATTTTTAAAATGTAAAATGTTTTATTCTTCTTTTATAGTACCTGAAAAATTTTATATACCTGAAAAATTAATTATAAGCACAACACATGATTATCGATTAACCTTGGATAACTGACAACAGATCAGTTATTAATAATCTTTTACTGCATAATAAAGCGATACGTACTTAAATAATTATTTTCGCGCATAAACGACGGCATATCAAATTACGTGCGGTACTTTTTCTTTTTTTCCCATCGCTGGGAGGAGAAAGAAAGAATTTGTGTCCTACAGGTCGGCGAGGGCGGCACCATTTCTATTCATCGTGGAAAATAAAGCCGGTCTCGATCGCGAGTTCCGATAACTATGAATATTTTATCTGCATAATATTTCTGGCACCCATCGGTGCGCTTTTTTTGCCACGTTCCCGCATGTACGTCGATCCTCCTTCCACTGTCTGACGAGACGACGCTGGCAATAACGTCGCATCCAGAAGCCGTATCGTGATACGTATCGGTGGCCGTGTATAAACGCGTCAACGTGCAAATCGCGGATTTCCCCACACCTGCCATGCAATCGCAGCTTTCACGTGAGTTGGAAAAGGGCGGCACGATCTCGCGGATCGCGCACACACCGGGGCTTTTGTACGGATCGCCGCGTGGATTAACAGGCTTCACGGATCGCCGCGGAATAGACCGGCATGGAGTCAGGATGCTGTTATGATGCGTGTAATGGGTAATGTTGCGTACCGAAAGTAATGTTGTTTGTCGCGAAACGCTGTTAATAGATGCGTCGCGTTGTCCCCCGTATGTCGTATTACAATTTTATTGCGCGAGTACAATGTCACGCTTCGTCGCTCGATGGACGGTACGTTGGAATATTCCGCGTCGTTATCTATTAGATTATGTAATTGCCATTACAATAAGAATTAATTTAAAGAAACAAAAAGAAATAGCTCACAGTTGAAAAATTTGTATTAAATTTAATACATTTTACATGTCCAAGCGGTCAAATTTTTGTAATAATTTAACACAAGATGAGTACGTTAGGAAATAATCCAAATATTAGGTAAAAATTAACGCAAAAGTGTAACACTAACATAATTTATAAATAATCATCTTTCTTTTATTAAAATTAACAGTTATAATATGTAAAATTAACATACACTTTATCTTACTCATTTATCTTGGAATTTATGTTTTAAAAACTATTATTTTGTAAACTACGTTACTTATTCACTTATTTATAAACTGTATTATTTTAAAAATAAGAAATATTGAGTATCAATTTAATATAAAATATTTGAATAACACAAAAAAACACATTATGTTAAATTAACACTTGAATATATTAAAAATTTAACACAAAATTTTAACAAAGATTTGAGTAAATCGTTTCTAACACAAATACAAAATATTTTTTACTGTGTAAGTAAAAAGTATACAAACAATGCAACGAGTAAGAATATTGGTTTTATAAAAAAGGGGCATATAGGTAGAAGGAAGAAGTTAAGTAACTTTAATTACCATAATAAGACGTGGAATGAAAAGCAACAGTGGAGGTTATATATTATTAAAAAGTGTGTCAAGCAAACCCGAAAAGAAGTTAACAAAATGTCGAGATACTGAGATAAAGACATCTTTCTTGCTCTAGGAGGGGTAGTCCGTGATGGAAATTTAAATTTCCCATGTACGAAAGCTTCGCACAAAGCTCGAGTGGCTTGCTTAATAAAATTTTTCTACGTGCAGAAATTCCTCCTGTGCGTCTCTTTTCACATCTGCACATCCTAAGACCATAAGACGTGAAATCCCGTGCCCGTTTGCCTCTACGCGCCGCCATATGATTACAAAGGGAGCACACGTTCAACGCAATGGATCGCAAATTCTGTGTGTATTCGTGGTTAGCCGTGTGCAACGCCGGGGACGGATCGATCGCGGAAGATATGCACGCTCGGATGCTGCGCTTTTGCACGAGTCGCATCGATGAACCGACTGCGAATTCCCTGCGCGCGTGATACGCGGCGTTACTACGTTGTTACCTGATAAGCGGAGTTCACTGTGTGCAGATTTCACCCCTTAACCCTTTAACGCTGCTTGCCGCGAATTGACGAGCCGTCCATTATGACCGATTTATATGATTAAGCGAGACACAATGCCAAATTCATCGTTGATTGTCACGCGTTTATCATCGCTAATAAAATATTTTTGATCCTGCATTCTCTGAGAATTCACGTTGCGCTACTATTACATCATCAGTATTATCGCCATCAACAACGATTACAAACTAGTTCAATTATACGTCTACGATGCGCTTGGTAATAACGAAATTGTTGAATTTATAATTCGAATGTTACGAATAATTTCTACACGTAGCATATTATAACTTTGGGTCAAAATATTAAATTAAATATTTGACTCGTAGAGACTAATTAATTTTGTAAAGACTACCAAAGAAAACACAAAATTGAGAAGATATAAGATTAATTAAATAGATTTATCATTAAAAATTATATCTGTTAAATACAGTTATGTATGCCAAGATTATATAAATTAACGTTTCACGTATAATTACGATGTCTATACTTGTGATGAGATATCAGAGAGAAATTCTCTATTTCGAGAGAATTTTTTGGTGCAAGAAGAAAAAGGGACTTTTTCTAATATTGCAATTTGGAACTTCCAAATTGGGAGACCCAATTACAAAAAAATTTCTTTTTCCCTTTACGCTAAAAAAATCAACCGAAATAGGAAATTTCCCTCCGATATCCCATTATAGATCTATGAATGCTGTCTTGAAATAACGTGATATATGGAATAATTTAATACCTTCAATATTAAGTGGAAATCGATTAAGAAGTATTTAAATATAAATAAGAAAAAATTTTTATTTTCAATTTTTATTTTTATTTTCAATCGAAGCTGAAGTTGGTTCAGTAATAAATATTATCATATGTTTCAATAGTTGAATTGATAAAACATTCGCAAGGAATTCGGAAGATACAATTTTGAATCTCGACTAGGGTAATACTTTCTGCAATACGTTATAGATATTTACAGGTTGTTAATGCTAGTAGAATTATTATTAAATCGACGATTAATTAATTTCATTGTGACATTATTATTTTAGTTTGTAATTGTGTTCCAAATTTGACAAATTAAATCGGCACACGATTTGTAGAACTGATAATTGTACATAAATATTGCTAATTGTAAGCATCGCTATGACTGAAAATAGCATTCTTCTCTTATTCGTGTTTAATACATCCATGCACCGTTTTCCTATCATGGTAAACAGCCAAATTTACATAGCTAATTATGGTCGCGTATACCTGTCGCATCGCATTTTGGATTACTAGCATCTGCATGTCCAAATGATGTACGTCTGATTTGTTCTCTAAATTGATACATACATATTAGAATCATAATTTATTACCTTTAGCAAAACTATTGAGGCAATTTTTAACAGCAACCAAATATTTTTATATAATAAAAAATTTAGTTGCTATTACGAAATACATTCTTTGACTTTATAAATAATAGAAATACTTTTTTTATATCGATTGAACAAATTAGTTCGTATATGAAATGATTATAGATTTGTTTGATATATTTTAATTAAAAACTTTTATTTGGTATACATTTTGACTAAGTTTTTATTGCTACAGCAAAACTTTGGTTAATAGAACAAAACACTTTTTCTAAAGTACAGTAAATTCAGCGTTTCGTTACAAATGATTACAATACAAAATCTATAGGAAGATTTACGCGTAGGTTGAAAATTTTCTTTTTTCCATTCGTAAAATTTCGTAAAATTTCAAGTTTCAACCTCAGATCGATTTACATGTTTCATATCCGGTTACTGAATATCTCAGAGAGCATAGTCATTTTAGGAAACACGGTCGGAGTAACATACGCTTCGACAATCCGTGTTAATCTAGGCAACGTCGCTTATATCACTTAATCCTTTATACTTCCTCCGTATTTCCCTTTACAATATTAACACGATTTGCTATATCACATTTCGGCGCCGTGGTGCCTACAATGCGGGCTCTCCGCACACGTAGATTATCGAGTTCCCCGCACACCCGGCGTATCTTCGTGTGAGCTCCAAATTCATGAGGGGCAAGTGCTTGCACCACTACAATATCGTGCAGAGTAACGAGGAAGGCAATTGGTCCTCCATCCTCACAGATTTCACTCGCTCGCACTTATACACGTTCACCTCGACAGACGACAATTCACGACGATCATCGTTGTGAACTACACACACACACACACACACACACACACACACACAACGGAACGTCTCGAGTGGTTTGTCGCCATGGGACGTACCACGCGCTGTTAGTGTGGCTCACGCACCCACAGTGCGTGTGACTGTTTGTCACGCGTGTGGCCGACACGCGTGTGTGCACGTTATGCGTCGTCGTCGTCGTCGTCGTCGTCGTCGTCGTATTTGTCGGCTTACCTAAGTTTATTGTTAGAGGGACCGCGTAGCACACTGTAGACGGAGCTTGACGATTTAGTGCGTCTCGCAAGCTGGTCCGGGTATCACGTGTACCGGCTCTGATCTATCTTGATCATCTCGTGATGACGCGGAAAGAGATCTCGGTGATAATGCGTGAAAACATGTGCAAGTGCAAATTAAGGTGAACCACAAAATGCCTAACTAAGTAATTTTTATTATTGTTATAATAAATCTTTAATTCACGATAAAATCGTGAATGGATATATGTGAGGTGCAGTTATCTACGATCTATTTGATAAATGACTTTAATAGAACAATCTAAAATTATAAAATAATAAAGCAATGCTGTTACACAATAATTGCATAAAACTCTAATTGCATAATTTTAATAAGTGTAAAAAAATAGGTAACTTTTTAATTTTACAATCATCTGTATATAATAAATTATTTGTTTGATGATATATTATTAAATAAATATTTTAACGATAGCATAATTAACCGATAAAAATAAAACAATAATAGGATAGGATATGACAATGGCTATATTTCTACGACAGTAATTAAATCCGAAATAACAAGATTACAACACAGCCCATTTTAAATAACGTATAGGAAAGAAGGAGCCGGACCAGAATACCAAAAGCAAATAAAAGTTGTCCCAGTACGCATAGCTCCGACTTGTTTACACAGATACCACAATCAGTCCCGTTTTCCATATATCTCTCACAAACTTGGAAATCAAGCGGAACGCAATGGCGAGATTCCGCGGGCAACGCATCATCGGAGAACCATTCGCTCCATTGGATGAGGGTGGCGCGGCGGGGTGAGGAAATGAAAAACGAGAAATTAGGATTTCGAGGACAGCGAAGTGCTTGGAACACGAAAAACCAATTGCATGAGAAACTCAAGAGGAGATGGTAGATAGCCGAAAGCGCGATAGCTCAATGAGAGTCGGAGGATGGTGAAGATAGATACATTGTTTACACCAAAAATAGTATTTTTATAAAATCGTCAGACAATTGTTATAAATGTGAAGAGTGATGATCAAGAACGCATACTTTAATGGGCATTTAATCAAGAGAAAAAGAAAGAGAGAGAGAGAGAGAGAGAGAGAGAGAGAGAGAGAGAGAGAGAGAGGCAGGTTTTTAAAAAAATAATAATAAATAATTTTATTAATACAACAGATTAAATAGTTTATGTTTTAAAACTAAAAACTAACTAAAAATAAAATAACTAAAATTCAAACATGTATCAAACTGACATGCTAATGGTTTTTTATGTTTCGAATTCTCTTTCACGCACTTGTTTATTTTGTTTATCTTTGATTTTTGGAGCAAACGGATATATAACACATTATCTTATAATTTATTTTATTCCACGCGATTTTTAATTTTACATGTGAACGAAAATGTCAATATATCTGGACGTAAAATTTGCAAAAGCATGTCACGATTTCAATAAAAATTCAAAATACCCATGAAAGAAAGCGTGCAAATGCGAAACCTAGCTCGATGGACATTTCAATGGTACAAAATGAAATAGGTAAACCAATATCGTCGGCAATATCCACTTTCGAACCACAAAATTGTGTCGTTCCCTGCTACTGCGAAAGTCAAAATGAACGGATGTCCAAAGTTTTATCCTTTCGAAGAAGAGATTTGTTCAGCTGATGCTAAAATTATTCTATAACCGTTTGCGAATCGCCGAGTCTTTTTTCGTCACCGCATTACCAGTACAGGCGGCCCACGACATTTTAATGTCATTTCAAGTTCCGTTCTCCTGAGGCTAATGCATTCTTAAATGCGTCGACAGCCCTTTATTTCCCTCTCTTTCACGATTACGACTCGCGCTTCTTTTTTATTTTCTCTTTCTCAACTCCAAAATCTTAATTAACTTTGGTAATTACGTATGCGGGATGGAAGGCCTTACACACTTCGTTACGCCGGTGATGAGGAATAGGAAAGGGAAGAAACGCTGTTAATATTGCTCGTGTTCTTGGGAACGAATTCGATATAAATAACGCATGCGTCGCAAAGTCTCATAATTTTAACATTATTTTTAACGTCGTCGTGAAAGCTATGTAGTCTTAAACTTAAAGCTCAATAAAAGATTTATTTAAAAAAAAAATCTAGTTGGAATGAAATAAATGTAATATAAATTACATTTTAACAAACAAAAGGCTCGTGTTGTAATGTTCAATGTACAATTTCATAAAATTTAGAATATATAAAATAAAAGAAGAGAGAGTGAAAGATATTACTAATTTTTTACTTTTCAAAATTATTTCTCTCAAGGATACAAACAATTATTTTATATATTCGATTTATTTTTGTAAAATTTATTATTTTGTTTACTATCATATTACGACGTGTCATATCCAACATTTTTTAATTTTCTTCTAACTAAAAATTCATTCTCTTAATCCTTGAGAAAATTCCATTTTGTTTACCCACGTTGCTTTTTCACGAAAATTATTTTTCGACTTTATTTCTTTCCCTCCTTTTCATTCGCACGGATCTTCTCTCGACGATGTCATATAAGTGTTTGAATTTTAATTCGTTCCGTCCAGAAAATTTCGTTATTCCCAGCATGCTCGTACGCTGCATGTCGTACATTCATGGCATGTTATCGTGCGCGCACTTGTGTACGTCGTACACAAACGCATTTTACGTGTTCCCAGTTTTATATCTCACCCAGTGCACCTGTGCAACACATTCAGTTATCTCTAGCTCGCATCTCGCTTCTTCTCTCGTTCCCCATCAAGCTCCGTAGCTTAACAAGGGCATTAATTAATAATACCTCCCAGGGATAATTTGCGTCTGCCGTCTTGCATCAGCATTGTTATTGTCCGCAGAGTCAACGTCTAACCCTTTGTGTTTGCGACACGATGCATCTTAAAACTAACCCGACGCTATTCATGCACAACATACACGTATACTACCTAAGAACTCAAGATGGCTTTCAGCGGATTGTAGGTGTTAACGGAAAGTAATGAAATTAAAATAAATACTATCTACTGAAAAGTTAATTTTTTAATTTCATTTCTGTTACAAGAAATTTGAAGAATATCTGAATTTTGGAACAATAATTTTTTGAACAATAATCGTAAAGTAGAAAATATCTCAATAAAAAATGTTTTGATCGTTCTACAGAATCACAGATTTTGCAAATGATATTTACGGATTTTATTTTAGTGCGAGATAACTGGTACAAGAGCAGATTCAATCGTACATGTTTATAACTAAAAATATTTTTACGGACAACCACTCAATGGTTTGTGTTGTTGTGCAGTCATTTTACTAATTTGCGATGTGAACTTTTATTTCAAGTTATACAGATATGTAAAATTCTCAATGGTTCATGAATTTCATTTTTTGTGCGTTGTTTTGGAAATACGATTCTAGTACAATGTAAACATTTTACATATAACAATATTTGTAGATAGAAATAAAATATACCCATATATAGTCGCAGAATATAAAAAGCTTTTTATACATTTTTATGAATTTATTTTTACAGTTGTTCTTATTTATAATAAAATTAATTAGATCAATTAACAATATCAGATATTTTATAAATTAAATTTTTTCGTAATTGATTATTGCCACAATACATTTTTCGTGATCTTTAATTACTTTCTTATCAAAATTTATTTTCATAATTTTTGTTATTATTTTATAAATTGATTCATATTACATATAACAAAATTTTTATTTGAACAGTACAATCGAAAATCAATATAATGCGTTTATTTTGACGTGTCTATACAACAATATTGTTCTATCATCCATTTCTCATACCATATTGGGTTCGTCATTTTATGCGCATTTCATTGTTCAACATGTCCCTCGTAAAATTACGTGATATTTTTCAAATCATTTCTCTCTCTTTTAATTGCATCTCCCTGAATTTTCCATTAAAATGATCAAAATGTAACATAACACGTTCAGATTGAGACTAAAATTTGAAATAATGTTTTACGAAACTGATCATTATTTTCCATTAATATTGGGATTTCCATACAACATATTAATGTTGAATCAACATCTTAGAAACGTTGAATTACAACATTGCAAATGTTACACCAACATCGCGAAATATACGTTCAACGTTGAAAAAACACTTCAATATTCAACATTGCAATGTCTTATTGTCAGTAATATTCTTTTATTTTATGACTTTTATTTTAGGACTTTTATCCTTGAATCTGTTTCCATACATATGGAATACGTTATCTAGAAGTCATTTTTGAAAGCAAATTCAATAAAAATTAAAAATAAAAATTTCATTTGGCAAATTTCTTATGTAATATCCATTTATGTTCTGAAGATGTGAGGATAATTACGATCGTACACGATAATTCCATCCATATTATGGCATTTCAATTTCAACACATTTAATTTAATTTTCCTCACAAAGGCAGCATTTCCTTCCTCTGTGATAAGATATTAATTCCTTGAAACTTCCGATATATGAAGACACCTCAAAGACGATGATGACCATAATAATGACAACGTGCCGGTACAAAGCCCACCAACGAATTAATTAATAACGGAATGTCATTATTATTCGACTATGATTTAATTCAAATCATCATAATCAGTTTAATCTCATATTGTGTAACTTTATGTGCCAAAAACCAATGTCTTTAACTAGAAATGTGTTCATTACCGGAAAATCGAGACTTTTAGATGGAAATTAACGAGGTTATTTTGAAAGATAGAGGTGGAAACACGTTGCTTCCACGATCCATCTGCCCCCAATTAACCTACATGCGGATAAAATTCAACGGCGTCGTTACTGAATACCGAAATAGCTAAACATTTTAATTAAAACTGAACAAAATTTTAATGCTTATGTGAATTTATTATCACGTTGGAATTATTATGATTGTTATGGGACTGCTTGATTTTACTTAATGCTTGATATTATCGATTATAAAAGGATTGAGTGTATTACTTTTCACAAAATCGATATTGTTCAATGAATAAACGAATATTTAAGCGTATATTGTTTGTTTATTACATTATTTTCTATTTGAATGTTTCGATTCCAACTGAACGAGTTGATTTTTTAATATAGTTATTATTTTCATTATACTGATATATAAATTAATTATTTACAAACATTATGAACTAAAGAGAAAGAAAGAGAAATAAAAAAGATGGATGAAAGAGAAAGGAGAGAAGAAATTATGGGATTAAAAAACAAGTAAAATTACTCTGAATTAATATACGACAAAAATCGTGTTAATAAATAATGTGCAATAAAAAATGTATTATCTTCTCTATTAAAAATAAAAGCTGCTAGCATCAGACTGATTCATCCATTTAATCTAAGTTAAACTTAGCCAATTCTTCTTACAAATTGAAAATGTTCTCGTTATCCTCCTATCATAAAGAATATAAATCGCGTGAAAACTCTTTTTAGTAAAACAAAAATTGCTCTCTTTTTCTCTCATCTCTTCGATTAATTTTCATCTTTAATTAATTCAGTTGTTTTAAAACAGCATATATTGTCATGACTTGAAACGCGAATGGAATTTGGAGATTTTGAATATTTCTGATTTCATTCAGATGCACGCAATTTTCTTGAAGAATAAGTTTAATGCTTCTTTAGAAATTCCATAGATCCTTTGTCTTCGTTATCTACATAATTATAAACAGAATAATTACAAAATTACTTTGCTAAACGCTATAAATTACTACTATCCATTCGTAATGATGGCACGGTGCAGAAATTAAGATGATTGTTTCACCGCCATTTAACTCCGTGCTGATCCATTTTATTGCGCGGAACGCGAATAATCGCGAAAATTAACTGCCAAAATTTATGACAAACGTAATGCATTCGCATGAACGCGCATATAATACATCGTATCCGAATCTTAGTATCAAACGCCAGGGGCATGCTGAAATCGCATAAACGGATGCCATTTATCATTCTGCCAGGTCTTACCGCGCTGGTTGAGTGACAGCGCGTTAAATTTAGCATTAATGATGCGGTTCCAGGTACTATAGCAAGACGGAAGTTCGTTAATTAGTTATCGCGGCGAAAAGTGTACGGCAACTTGTGCCACATTCCACGCATCTCGTCGTGTCTCCTTCGCGCCACACCGACAAATTTCGATCTTCCGCGGAGAGATAACCCCGGAGATAACGGTTGCGTTTCGAGTTCTACCTCAATTCGCTACATTTCGTTACATTTTGAATGCGGTACGCAAAGTCTTTTCATATATTATCTATTAATTTCAATTTGTCGAGTTGTTGTAATGCAGAAGTCAATATTTATTTAGAATGCTGATCTTTTGCGTTGTTAATAAAAATATCTCTAATTAAAAATTTTTTAGACTGGTTGATCTTAATTGTGAATGAAACTAAAGATAGGTACGTGCAATTGTATATAAGTTGTTCTACTTAGAAAAAAAAATATATTTCAGAATTTTATATTATATTTATATTTATGTGTATTGAAAGTGTAAAAGATTTTGTTAGCAGAAAATTAAAACATTTATTTTAAAGTGCATCCTCAGATAAATTTACCCATAAATTCCCAAGGATTCGATAGGATTAATAAAAAGACTTAATTATTTACTTAATTATATTTTTGTACAATTTAAAAGTAAGAAGACATAAACTCGTGAAAATGAAAAATTCTAATAAGATAATTGCTTAAAAATACATAAAGAGTGACTTACATATTGCGAAATAAATTCAATGAACAGAATAAATGTTTGATATGATCAATGATATTTATTTCTATTGTATAATTACTCTAATTAATTCTATTGTATAATTACTTTGATTACTTATTCTAACCGCGTCTTCAATATCACAATACAGAATGTTGCCACAAGGAAGAAATAACTTTCGTATGCAGATTAGTTTTTGGTGGTACAACTTCAATCGCCAAAACTTCATTAGATTCGTATACGCATGAAATTTCCCCGTACAATAGGAAATAAAAAATGCTATGATAAAACAACCCGTATTGTGAAAAAGGGAGGCTGTTTCAACGCATGTCGTCCGCAAGTCGGCCTCGCGCACAATGCAACTCGCCGCGCCCAATGCAATCGCATTCTATTAATGAATGTAGTTCGCATCCGTAGCACGCGCGTTAAGATCGTTACGAAATCTCGCGTCACGTGTGCGAGAACCGAAAGTGGAAGGAAGGAAGGAAGGAAGCACGTGAGGCATTATTAAACTTCTCGTGCTCTAATCCGGGTGTAACGCGCGTGGTTTACGTGGTCGGAACGAAAACTATGCGGTACGATGAGGGGGCTAAGAAGAATCGGTGGTGGCCTACCGAGCGGGAAAAAGCTGGACTGCTGCCAGAAGATGCGTCAAGCTCGAGGAGTATTGCTGGTGTACTTGAGCATCTGTGCATTGCTGCCCGACGCTATTTTCACTGGTGAGTATCGATGATTTTTCTTTTCGTATTATTACGGCTTTCTGTTCGATCTCCGTAATATAGACATGTGTAATGGAAGTTCCTGTCTTCGTCCAAGAAATCACAGATATGGATTATTTGAGAAAGACCTAATATACGTTGTATAAAATAAAAAAAAAATTAATATTGTTTCGTTACTTCAAAAGTAATGCAAGTAACTAAAAAATTGAATTTTTTTTTGAAGTATTATTAAAGAAACAATATCGGTAAAAAGAATATTTTTGGAAACATGACCAAATGTCATTTTTATTTTACAACCTTAAAAATCATCCTTTTTGAATTGTGACAATTTTGATATTTTACAAAATTAATCGTAACAAGTTCGAAATAATTTATCAAATAATATTATGTGAAAATTATAATCAATAGATTATATTTACTTTGATCAATTAAAATAATTAAATTAAAAAAATAAAACAATTTCTTTTTCAAACTTCACCGAAACTGCCTTAAATCTAAATTAAATGTTCTCTACAAAAGGTTTTTTTTTTATTTACTAAATGACAATTCAAAACGTATCACTCTTGTAGAAGGGATACGATGTTTTTGGAAACCTTAAGAGCGACACAAGTGTTATTTAAAGAACGGACTGTGAAGTTAAATTAGTTTGCTTTTAATGATTCGTAGAGTAATTTTTACTTAATTTATTTATAATAAATAATTGTAACTAAAAAATTGTTACTAATAAATTTATAAATAATGTGAACTTTATTTGTTCCAAGATGTAAATTACTAACTAAATCTTTGATAGAAAATTCAGCAAATGTTATGCAAATAATGTCTTCACTTCGCAAAAAATCCATCGCTTCTTGTTAGAGGGTAACTCACAAATCGCGCTATCACGTACCGTCGTCAACAACGCCAGGCGTAACGACAATATGATTTCTGCGCGCGGATGCAGAGCGCGGGAGTGAAACTTTTCTGCAGTCGTTCTTTAATATAAGGTCTCGCGGTCTCACCTGAGAAATGAAGAGCATAAATCATGGCGCTCATCAAGCCTCGCGTGGTCTCAATTTTGCAAAACTTTCCCCACAAATCTTTGCCGCCCGCCTAAGGCGCTGTCATCTCCATCTTTTAAAGATTAGTTTAATGTCATTCGCGATGTCTACCGTACTTCAACTTTATAATGAGAAAGTCACTGTGACGGAACGAAATAAGCAATAACACTGTGTTATATGAAGAAGCATCCTATAGAACTTTACGTTTATAAAAATCACATACATCATTCTACTTAACAATTTGATTACTTTATAATAATATGTAATGTAATGTTGATAATATTTCGTCTAGTGAGTTTATTTACAAGATATAGATAGATAATTTTATTTAATTAAAATTAGTTTTGTATTAATATTGTAACTTCCGCGTTGAAATTATTGATGCAATTATACTTATGGTTTTTATAATGTTACATGATACTATTTTTTATACTTTAAATTGAATTATTTAATTCAATTATACGGGATATATACGGGATAATGCATTATAATTGCAAACAATTTAGCTAAAAAAATTGATATGCGTGTATATATGAGAGATAAAGGTTAACTACCGCAAACATACATTTAGAGCTCCCGAGACAATTCGAGCGTTGGTCTTATTTAAAAATAGGCATCACAGAGACTGAAGCAAGCTATATGTAGAAATACCTCTAATTCCACACAATGGTATTACAATAAAGGTAAATGTATCGTGAAATAATATAATTTCTTAAGGCTTTAACTCTTACATCCTATATAATTTTTTGTTTTTAATTTATGTTTCAAATCTATATAAAAATGATGTTAATTCTGATACAGATTTTTCAATTATAAAATTAAGTTTTATTTATACTAACGAAATAGAGAAGAATTATAGAATTTAATTAATTATTATTAATTAAATTATATATAATTATTGTATAATTTATTATTATTATAAAAATAACTTTATACGTAAAATATGTAATGCGATTAAATACTTTCGCTCTTTCGTTTATGATAAAAATATTTAACAGTCAATTTAATTTTTGTACTTGAAACTTTCTCCTGTGATTGTTTTAAAATTTGTTACAAATTATAAAAAAATTTGTTACAAATTATAAAAGAGTACAAGTTCCGTTGTTTTGATGTCAGAAGGGCGTGACTAAAAATATAAATTGAGAGAAACGACCCTTGTAAAATGCGAGGGTAGTATTAAAGGACGTCCTCAGACGTACTCGAACGCGAAGGTGCAGCTCTATGCATCGAGATATGCAACTTGTAACGCTTCACAGACAAAATAGGAACTAATTAAGCACACGAGAGTTTAAACGAGGCGCGGCACCGGCCGTAGTGCAAATTGCAAGTCGTATTAACAATTATCTCGTAATTGTCTACAGCATGCTCAGGATTTGTAAAGCTAGAATTAAATTCGCAAGTAACGCTTGCTGGCACTTCGTGTCTCGACTCCATGTGTTCCTTTCTAGATATACCTCTCGTTCTATTTTCCCTCAAATCTCTGCCATTGTATTTCCTCGCTTCGTCAAGGATTTGACATTTCATTTGAATGAAAGGAGGAAAATAAATTTCGTTTACTTGCTTTTAAAAGTAAAATGTGATAGTCGTAAACCAGCATTCATAATCGCATTTCTGTTGAAAAATTCTATGAATTCCAAATCAAGAGACGCGATAGCGTCTCGCGCCAAACATATTTTTTGTAAAGTTTTATTTTTTATATAATATATTTAATAATTTTTAAATAAATTAATTTCGATTTAAATTGTAAAAAAATTAAATAATTTATATATAATAATTGAACCGTAACATACACTTATAAAAAAATATATTAATCAGATTGAAGCAAATTCTTTTATTAATTAAATAGAATTTAAGTAGCAATATTTTTATTCCAAAACATTTTGTCGTATAAACAGAATTAATCGAATTTTAAACTGGATTTAGACTAACTATAAATAACGAAATTATAGTATTCTAATGTTTAATCTACTTTTAATGAGTAATAGTGAATAATGATCTACTTTAATGAGTAGACGTTATTAATTATAAGAGTAAATTATATAAACTGATAGTCACTAATTTTTTATATGAAATGATTAATCGTATTTCAAAAAATAATGCGACAATACGCAGAGTGGATTCTTATTGCATCTTACTTATTGAGTCTCGAAATAAAAATGAAAATATGCTATATAATGTAAACATTTTTGGCTGGCATGTGGCCTCGATGTTTGTTTTTGCGCGTTACAACGATTACAATATTATTTACGTTTATGACTTTGCGTTATCATTCATGTTTCGGCAATCTAACTGAAAGGAAGCATCGAGAATCGTTCAGTATATCATCAATTATTACTCCTCGCAAATGATTGCAAAAATAACAGAATTTGATCACTTCTTATACGTTATTATATATTAGTAATAAGCAACGTGTATCAATGAAATCCGTGCAATTAATAAATTCTTACAATTTGTAACAATTAAATGTTGCGACGCGATCGACAATTTATATTAGATTTGTTCTTTGCGATTGAACATTTGTAATAAAATGAAATAGTATATATTTGAAATCTGGCGAAAGCGAGAAAGAAAATTTTAGTGCATCAAATGCAGTGATAACGAATACAGGCTTATTGTAACAGGCTTATTTCTTTATTTATTCTAAAATAGGGAGAATATAAACTTATACTAATACTTTGTTCTGATAGAACACTTTTTCTTATATAAAGAGAAGAAAGTATGATTAAAAAGTATGCATTATTAGAAGTTTATATTATTAAAAAGTATGTATTATTAAGATGATATTAATATCTTGTCTATTTCATGATGTTGCAAGTAGAATCATGTACGAAGTAGAGTTTTGCAAAGCAATGTCTGATCTCTGTGGTAATGAGTATGCACGATGATAATTAATCAGTTTTACAAGTAAGTATTGTGTAAAAGAAATGAAATAATATATCTATGAGATGGAGGAGGTATCGGGTAACAGTGGGAATAATCATGGAGTAAGTATAATTTACCTTTTATATAATATATGTGTGAATATATATATATAGAAGAAAGTCGCTGATACTGACATAATAGGTCTTCTAAAGTGACACTCCCTTATTTCTCAGAAACTAGTTATTGCACTTTATTAGTACTAATAAAATCATAATCTGTTTTAAAGACAGTTTATGCTGCACTTTAATTTTAAATTTAAAATCATGTTATGAAAAAATTAAAAGAAGAAATAATATAAATAAAACTGATTTAAGAAATTACAAGCATTTAAAATGACGTATATATTATTGATAATATTACGTCATTTTAAGTGTTTGTAATTTCCTAAATCAATTTTATTTATATTATTTCTTCTTTTAGTTTTTTCATAACGCTACATATATACGATTTATTCGTAAAATTGCTATATATTAAAGTACAAACATACAAAATCAGTTACTCAGTAATTAACTCAGTAATTAACTCAGTAACTCTCACTAACTAAAACAACTGAATCGAGAACTGATCAAAAAGTCCTCAAATAGTCGCAAATCGACGTAAAGTTATCTTGCTCTATGACAATACCAGATTTCATATTGCTAAAGAGTCCAAGGAAGCGCTATTGGACTTGAAATGAAAAATCCTCTTCTACCTAGCTTATTCACCGGACATTGTCCCTTCTGATTACTACCTATTCAAATCGCAACACGCGTTGTCTGATGAGCGTTTTTCCAATACCGAGAATGTTCGAAAATGGGTGGATGATTGGATCGCGTCAAAAGATGACGAATTTTTTCAACGTGATATTTGTATGCTACCTAAAAGGTGGGCAAAGATGGTAGAAAACAAATAGATAGCAAATATTTTGACTAACATTGTTTCATTCATTTTATTTTAATAAAGAAAAGTCATTAATATAGTATACAAGAACTTTCCTTACATCCTAATATTAGAGTTACATTGCGATGCTTGAACTAGTTGCTCAGTAAATAAACAAAATAT